AAAAAAAAAAAAAAAATTTTGAAAGCCAGGCCTGATGGCACACACCTGTAATCTCAGCACTTGGGAGGCTGAGGCAGGAGGATTGCTGCAAATTCAAGCCCAGCCTGGGCTATACAGTGAGTTTAGCACCAGTGAACTCAGTGAAGTCATAGTGAATTCAGGACCTGAACTATGTATTGTGAAAACCTGCCTCAAAAAAACAAAAAACAAACAAATAAATAATAAATTTTGAGATAGAGTCTCTCTATACAGTGCTAAATTACCCAGGCTGAGACTGAATTTGCAACCCTCCTGCCTCCCAGAGTCCTTGGATTAGTCATATACTTCTATGCCCTACTAGTTTTCCCAAACTTGACTGCTCAGTTGAATCATCTGAAAGTTTTTAAGAATGTCTGATCAGGGCCTGGTATTGTGCTGCATGCCTGTAATTCCAGCACTGAGGAAGCTGAGGCAGGACTGCTGCAACTTCAAGGCCAGGCTGGGTTAAATAGTGAGTTCAGGACCCGCCTGAACTACACAGCAAGACCCTGTCTCAAAACAAACAAAAAAAACAAACAAAATGTATGATCAGGGCTGGGGATGTAGCTCAGTGGTGGAGTGCTTCTCTAACATGTACAAGGCCCTGGGTTAATTCCCTAATGCTACAAAAAAAAGTAATTCTGATTACAATATCCAGGATTCCTGTCGTCTTATTGGCAACTTTTGCTCTACTGCATGATCATGTTGGCGGTCTACCTTTCCTCAGGCAGCTTTTGACTTCTGCCATGTCCAAATCTTCAAGATCAAAGAAAGTTGAGTACTTTGGCCAGTGAAATTATAACACTTTTCTTTTTTTTTGTTGGTTTTTTTTCCAGTACCGGGAATCAAACTCACGACCTTGCGCTTGCCAGGCAGGTGCTGCGCCGCTGAGCTAAATCCCCAAGTCCAATTCTAACCCTTTTACCTTAAGTACTTCTTCTTACTTTCACAACTCTCCCATAAGGTTCAACATTTCTGAATTTCCCTGGGAAAATCAATTCCATGTTAACAGATCATTTTTATGTTCATCCATTTATTCAGCAGGGTTTTAAAAAAATTTAGGTTTTTTGAAACTGGGTCTTGCTATGTAGTTCAAGCTGGCTTTGAACTCATGGTGATCCTCCTGCCTCAGCCTCCCGAGTGCTGGGATTGCAGGAGTGCACCAGCACCTCCCAAAGGTGTCTGAATTCATCATAGCCTTCTCAGTGTGTTGTGGTATTGTTGTGTGTGTTTACTCAGAGGTACAAGTGAACGCTGGATGTGGTGGCGCATGCCTGTAATCCCAGCACTCAGGAGGCTGAGGCAGGAAGATCATTGTGAGTTCAAAACTGGCCTAGGCTACAAAGTGAGCTAAAAGCCAGCCTGAATTGCATAGCAAGATGCTGTCTCAAAAGGACCAAAAAAGAAATTTTTTTTTTTTTTTTGTAGTATCAGGGGTTGAACTCAGGGCTTTTGCACTATTACCAGACAAGGCACTGCTAAACTCAGGCAGGAGAATCACTGCGAGTTTGAGACTAGCCTGGGGTACAGTGAGTTCAAAGCCAGCTTGAACTACAAAGAACCTGTCTCAAAATTTTAAAAAAGGCTAAGAAGCCAGGTGTGGTGGTGCATGCCTGTAATCCAAGCACTCTGGAGGCTGAAGCAGCAAGATTGTTGTGAGTTTGAGACCCATCTGGGCTACAAAGGGAGCTCAAGGCCAGCCTGAACTGCGCAGTGAGACCCTGTCTCAAAAAAAGACAAAAAAAAAAAAAAAAAAAATTAAAAAAAGGCTCAGGATGTAGCTCAGTGAGAAGGCCCTGGGTGCAATTTCCAGGACCAGGAGTGGGAGGGAAAAAAGACTTAAAGGTGAAAACATGAAACATCCTCATAGACTTCAAATTATCCAGATGAGGCACCTGAAATGTCATAGACATCTTAGTGACTATTGAGGGCCTAGACTCTGCACTAATACAAGATCCAGAGAGAACACCTCACCCAGTGTCCTCATCCGCAAGCAGCAGCATGAAAACTGGAGTCTAGAGGTCCTCCTCCCTCTGGCAGCTGCCAAGTTGTAGTCGGTCCATTTCTTTTGGGGTGGGGGCAGGGGCCTAACCAGGGACACAAATGTCATCACCTAACAATGATCCAGCAGTGAGGGAGCCTGTGCTCACTAATGATGTGGCTGTCGCTGACTCAACAGTCAGGATCCATTCATCTTTTTTTTTGGTCTCTTTGAGACAGGGTCTCGCTATGCAGTTCAGGCTAGCTTTGAGCTCAATCGCCCAGGCTGGTCTTGAACTTGCAATGATCCTTCTGCCTCAGCCTCCGAAGTGCTGGGTTTACAGGCGTGCGCCACCATGCCTGGCAGGATCCATCTTCACAAGATGAAGCACAGACTTCCACCAGTGTACGCTGGGCATCAGATCACACTGGTTTAGATTCCACAGCTCTTTTATCCTTTCACCCTTTTTTGTGTGAAGCCCTCATTCCCTCCCTTCTGTTCCTGGGTGCTGGGACATCTTTTTTTTTCTTTTTTGTCTTTTTGAGGCAGAGTCTTGCTATGCAGTTCAGGCTGGCCTTGAGCTCATTTTGTAGCCCAGGCTGGTCTCAAGCTCATGACAATCCTCCTGCCTCAGCCTCCCAAGTGCTGGGATTACAAGCGTGTGCCACCAAACCTGGCTATTTTTTCTTTTGGTGGCACTGGGGAGTGAAAGGAGCCTTCACATTGAGCTACATACCCAGCTCTTTTTAAATTAGGGAGTCAGGGTCTCACTACATGGCCCAGGCTGAGCTCGAACTTAGCTTCCTGCCTCAGCCTCCCTGAGTGCTATGATTCCAGTATGTGCCAAAATACTCAGGCTGAACCTGTTTCTTCTCATGAACTATTCATTATGGAAGAGCTATATAAACCATAGTAGGCAAAATAGTACAGATTGCTACCGATAGAGAAGTTACTTTTGTTTTCAGAATTTCACTTACAGGGCTGGGGTTTAGCTCAGCAGCACAGCACCTACCTGGCAAGCATGAGGTCCCGAGTTTGATTCCCTGTACTGCCTCCCCCAGAAAAAGAACTTCACTTCTAGCTGTTCACTGGCACGGACAATAAGAAGAGCACTGTGCAAAACAAGGATGTTGGGTTTCTCAGCAATAGGGGTGATTTCAATGCCTGCCGCCCTTCCACCTTCCTTTCCCGTGGAGCACAAGGCTCCGTAACAGTAAGCTTTACCTATAAACCCTGAGAATCTAGTACGCTCCGTGCGCTGTTTACCTGGAAGACATTTTCGGCCTTTCCAGCCTAACCCCAGAACATCGTGATTTATAGTAAGAGATTTCTGAACTCAAAGTGAATAGAGACAGAGGCAAGTGGCTGGAAATGCAAGGGAAAGTCCTCCTCTCTTCTTCCCAGATTTGTCTGCAGGTCTCAAAGACACACTAAGCAGCCGGCAGGGAGTCCAGGAAATGAAGACCTCAGGATCTGAGTAAATGGTCACAGGACTAGGATGAGCTTTTTTTTTATACCAGGAATTGAACCTGGGACCTTGCACTTGCCAGGTAGGTGCCGTGCCACTGAGCTACAACCCCGGCTAGGATAGTTCTTTTTTTGTTTATTTGTTTGTTTTTCTTCTGGTACCAGGAATCGAACTCATGACCTTGTGCTTGCCAGGCAGGCGCTTTTGCCACTAAGCTAAATCCCCAGCCCCTAGGACAGTTCGTAAGAGGCAGATGGACAGCTTCCCCTCAGCAACAGGTAGACCTGCCAGCCAGCCAATACCTCAACTACCTCATCAGCTATTTCAAAAAATTTTTTTTGGTACTAGGAATTCAACTTGGGACCTTGTGCCTGCTGGACAGGCACTGTGCTGCTGAGCTACATCCCCAGCCCACACTTCATCGGTTTAAACAAAACATTTCAGTTGCAGGGACCATCATGTCAAACTCAGGCCCAGTTCTGGGTGAAACAGCAGGACACAACCGCTACCAGCTCTAGGAGAGGAGACAAAAGGCACCAGGCGCTGTTGTTAAACATGGCATTCTTTATTTTCATATTAACATTAAAAGACAAACAGAACAGAAATGGAAATCCTACTGACCTGTTTTCAAAGCAGGCGCAGGAACGCATACGATGAATTTACCCAGCTGCAGACCCTCACCTGGAAAACGATGCCGGGGGCAGCAAGGAGGGGCCATGTGGGGAGCCCTGCGATGGTCAGGAGACCAGAGCCCAGGTCTGGATGTCGCCTCCGGCAAGTGTGGGACAGAGGCCAGGGTGAGGTTTTCTCAGGGAAAATGATCAGTCAGCTGAATCTGCCTCCAAATGTGCAAGTCTGAGTGCAGGATGTAGCTCAACGGTACAGCGCATGCACAGCACGCTTGAGGCCCTGGGTCCCCGGCAGCCCTCACCCCAGACAAATGTATCGCCTGACAAGACTGACATTCACCAATGTCCTTGGGAGGGAGTCCCCGGGCTATTCTCAGGGCAGTCAGATCCCGACACCGACTCAGCCCAAAGGGAGAGGCGGCTAGGCTGACACCCGAGCCCTCTGCGCCCATCTGCAGAAACCACATGAGCTCTGCCTCTTTATCCAAATCCCATTGTGTTGCTGAAGCTCCAGGCCGGGGCAGCCACGCCTTGACATGACATGCCGACACTAGTACCTCCTGACAAAGGAGGCTCTTCCCAGGTGTAGCTTTTAGAGATATCTTCAAAAAGTTTTTTTAAAAAAATTATCCTCATACAGAAGATTCCATTAAAGGAAAGGCACAGACAGAACCTGAAGCTACGAGAGCCCAGTGTGGTGGTGCACATCTATTACATAATCCTAGCACTCAGGAGGCTGAGGCAGGAGGATGACCATGACTTCAAGCACAGGCTGGGCTGCATAGTGAGTTCAAGACCAACCTGAACTACATAGTGAAATACATACCTTGTCTCAAAAAAAAAAAAAAAAAAAGGGAAAGAACTTGAACTTGGAGCTATGGGGAAATCTACCTTAATCCCTTGCTGGTAAGAATGATTTTGGAAACAGCTGAGGAGCTAACAAGTCAGAACTGTTTCATAGAAGGCTCACACCTCACTAACAATTATGTAAGAACCACACTGTTGGCCACTACACTTCCAAGAACACTGGCCTGCCCGCACCAGGGGTGTCTCAGGCTGCACACCGCAGCTCAGCACAGTAGGCAAAGGCAAAACAAACAGCCTGTGTGCGCCCTCTGCTGGAGAGAAGCACAGCGCCCCACGGTGGACAGTCAAAGACCAGAACAAGAGCTCGGTGGTGCCTCCCTGTCGCCCACACCAGTCTGCAACCACTGGAATCTCCCTGAGAACAGCCGCGTTACCAGTCACACTCGGAAGACGTGACAGAGAGGCGAACCAGTGGAAACTGGAAACACACACCAGTTTCAGAAGGGGAAACCTTTACCTGAGAACTATAAACACGCTCAGTAACAGCTCCTCAGAGATGGGTGGTTCCTTCTAGTTACGGGCCTTTCCAAAATGGGAGTGACAAAGCCTGTTCCCATCTCCACAGCAGCCCTGTCCTTTACACTTTCTCTTTTTCTAAGACAGCATCTCACTATAGTTCAGGCTGCCCACACCCCACGCAGCTTTTTTTTTTTTTCTAGCTTTCTTATTTATTCCCCTGCTCCTGATCTCTATTAGGGCAGATGTAAGTAGCTTTGACATATTACTTATCTTTTCCTAGCAGTGGGGGAAAAGAGTCATCTTTAAAGTACTAGCTTAGATAAAGCCAATCCTGAGACCCTGGGCAAGCTAGAAGTGAGCTCTCCCCATCGTTTAAACAACTGGTCCCTTTCCTTAGCCCCCACAATGCGATGAATGGTAGAGCGTATAGCACTAGGTAAGGTTCTAGTTCACCAGCCGTCACTGGCCAACACCGTAGCACTGTGTGCCCGGAACACGACTACAGCTGCCCTGAAATGCAAGCGGCACACTAAGGCATGCTTGCTTCTGTGCGCGTGAGGCCGCTTCTAGGTTGTCAGCCCCCAAACTCAGACAGATCGCACCCTCCACAAGGTTCTCCAGCGCCCTCTTGTGTTCGGTGGAAGACAGGCTCTTCTGTGTCAGCGCCGCATCATGCCAGGAAGGTTGGCCACTTCAGAATGCAGCAATTACCCCAATAAGGCGCTCAGGTGTCAGATCACCCAGAAAACCCTCGGCGCTCTCTCAGATCCTAAGTGACTGCAGAGAGGACTCCCTTGGGTCCAGCAAAATACAAACAGAAAAAGGATCTCCAGCAAAGGGTCACAAAGGCTTGTAACCGGAGAAAGCAGCCACACAGATGCAACAGCAGCAGTCACCGTCCTCACAGACACAGCAGATTCACCTCTCATGACCACCTGATCCAAAGGGAACAGAAGGCCTTCTCTGCAGGCACCAAGCAGGGATCTTGCTCGGGGCTGCTTGGTGCTAGCAAACAACACTTAAGGTCAGCCAGCGCACGCCGGAAAAGTCACTCCCACTTATAGATGTGGACAATCTTCTCTGTTAAGGTGGCCAGGTAGCTGTTATGGTTCACATCGAATGGGCAGATGTCCAAGACAGGGTGATCGTTCTGCAGGTCCTGTAGCAGCGAGCCACTGCTGGCGTCCCACAGCTAAAGAAAAAAAGCGGGGAGAAAAGCAGGCTCAGCAGACAGCCCCACTGGGGGACGCGCTTGCTTTGTCATCACACAACTGAGAAAGAAAAAGAACTGTCCAGGAAAAAGACTGACCATCTTCGTGAGGCTGCGCAAGGCCACCCGCACCTAACACACACTGGTAGGGCCTTCCACCGCCACCAGCAATTAGCCTGCCTGTGCAGACTCATTCCTTCCATCTACGAGCCACGCAATCTTCTAGGCACTGGCCCTTTTAGGGACAGAGGGTCAATAAGACAAAGTTCCTGTCCCAATCGTTTCTTAGCCTTTGCCTAAGACAGTATTTTTCCTTATCTGTTAGGTCCTCTATCCAAGGGTCTTGTTATATAGGGTCTTGTTAGATAGGGTCTTGTTATATAGTTCAGGCTGGCCTCAAACTCATGATGACCCTCCTGCCTCAGCCTCCTGAGTGTTAGTTCAATGGACTTTGAAGCTGGGACCTGGAATAGGAGCTTGCTCCATCCACCCCACACACCCACGTGGTATTGCAAGAAACTGAGGCAGGAGAATCACCTTAAATTTAAGGCTAGTACCTCCAGGAATGGTGCCCTCATCAGGGAACAGAAAGCAAGTGTTCGACTCCAAAAGAAAAAAACATTATTGTCCCAGTCCTCATGGAACCTACATTCCATTTTTTTTTTTTGTCTTTTTGAGACAGGGTCTTGTTATGTAGTTCAGGCTGGCCTTGAGCTCACTTTATAGCCCAGGCTGGCTTCTAATTCGCAACAAGCTTCCTCCTCAGCCTCCCGAGCGCTGGGATTACAAGCATGTGCCACCACGCCAGGCATACCCTAACCCTAACCCTAACCCTAACCACATTCTAAATGGTGCTTTCTTTTCCTTTCTAAAAATCTAAAAAACAAACAAAACCTCACTATAAAAAATATTTTATGAGAACACATGCCTGTAATCCTAGCACCCAGGAGGCTGAGGCAGGAAGATCCAACTTAGAGGCCAGCCTGGCATACAGAGTAAATTTGAGGTCAGCCTGGATTATATAGTAAGACACTGTCTCAAAAAAACCTAAAAAGTAAACACAAACAAAAACCCAAAACTAAAGTAAAAAGTAGAGAAAACAGTACAATGACTGCCTAACAATTCAAAATTATTAAACCTTTATCAACATCTGGCTTATGCAACCTCTTTTTCCCTTTGCTGACTTTATGTTGCTTTACCCTCATATATACTTAAGTACACATCTTTCTAAAAAAAGACATGTGTAGCCGGGTGTGGTGGCGCATGCCTGTAATCCCAGCACTCGGGAGGCTGAGCAAGAGGACTGCCATGAGTTGAGGCCAGCCTGGGGTACACAGTGAGCTCAAGGCCAGCCCGAATTGTATAGTGAGAGCCTGTCCCAAAAACACAAAAGAAAAAAAAAAAAAAAGACAGACACTTGAGGCAAGCATTCCAGACTCTTCCTGTCGTTTATGAGCTATTCCTATTCCCCAATAAATTTTACTACTCTTTTTTTTTTGTTTTGTTTTTTTCTCCGGTACCGGGAACCGAACTCACGACCTTGCGCTTGCCAGGCAGGCACTTTTGCCGCTGAGCTAAATCCCCAGCCCCCAAATTTTACTACTCTTAAAAAAAAAAAAGACATTTGAATCAGGTGAGGTGTCCCATGCGTGTAATCCCAGCACTCAGGAGGATCACTGCGTGTTCAAGGCCAGTCTGAACTCCATAGCGAGCTTAAGGCCAGTGTGAACTACATAGCTCAGCCCCTGTCTCAAAAAACAAAATAAATAACACCAAAAAACCCCCAAAACAAGATGAACTTACCAGGGCAGAATTTGACGCTTCATCGCCAGTGCAGACCAGGACGCTGCCATCATTCTCCGGGCTTTGGAAAATGGCACTTTTGGTCAGCAGTTTGCAGGTGGGCCCCCCGAGGAACGTCTGCACAGGCTGGCAGGAGCAGACCAGCTCCCCAGCCTCGTCCCGCTTGTGGGACAGCTCCATCAGCACGCTCCGCATGGTGCTGTGGTTCTTATCTGTGGGACAGAGAAGCCGGCGCTGGCCCATGGGACTGGCAGCAAGACAGGCAGCCAGTACCCGAGCCCCAGACACCGCAGCGCAGTTGGGCAGGGAAGTGTGAGTGCATTAACGGAGTGAACAGTAACGGCACAAGTGAAATTTGGAAACCCCCGCCAGGATGAAGCCAGTTACCCACAATAGGCTTCTGCCTAGGAAAGAAACAATTCTGAGCATCACCACTCGACAGCAAACTCACTGCATCCTGCCAGACCTCTCCCGGGGAATTTCCTCTCCAGAGTTCTAGGCTTTTTCCCTTCCTCCAGGGAGGACCCCAGGAGTGTACACCTAGCAAGTACAAGCCTGCTATTCCTGAAGAGGATCGTATCTGAAATTCTGCTGGGAAGCAAACAAAAGCTAAGAGCAAAGCAGAATGTTTCTGGGCCCTGTCTGCAAGCTGGGGAGGGCCTTCAGAGAACGACGTCTCTGAGCCCCTTGGGCTTCCTGTGAGAGGGACGCCTGGTCACAGGGCGGACCCTCAGCATTAAAGCTGTCTTCCAGGACAAAGCAGGCCCCTAGGAAAGCCACAGGTAACCAACCGAGAGTAACGACTCCCAGCCCCAGCAAGGCAGGACTGCAGGTTATAGCCACTCTCCTGAGACCTCAAGACCAAAGGGAGGAAGGAAGGAAATCCACAACGCTCACATCAGTATGGTTCATCGGGAATTTAGGCTAGAAAGCACCTGTGAGTTTAAGAAGAGCCAGCCGGGGCACACCTGGGCCTCTCCCTTGCATGAGGTGTGCAGCAGGCGGAAGAATGAAACTGATCTGAAGGTGGCTCCCCGGCCTCAGACCCGGCCTCCCCACCGCACCGCTGCAGATGGAGCAAGTGGGAGGAGCAGCACCAGTCCTCACAAAGGAAGGAGCCAGCAGCCCCATCCTCCCTGGACGGCAGGAGCTGCCACCCAAGGGGAGGGCCAAGCTCTCCCCTGCTCTGCACCAATCTGCTCCCCAACACCCCTGCAGGCCCCGAGGGCGCCCACACTCACCAGGCCTGTAGGTTACCAGACAGTGTCGGGTGCTGTTCTCGGTCTGGAAGTCCACGTAGCCCCCAGGCTCCAAGGGCAGCACATGAGGCCAGTGTGAAAAGCCCATTTTCAGCTCCCAGAAGGAAGCGTGCTCCAGGGTGCCAGCCAGCACCCCGCCATACGGAAACGCAGCCGAGGCGGCTCTGGGGATGTATGACAGGGACACCAGGGGGCATCTGAGGAGAGAAGGAAAGCCCCATTCACATTCCCAACCCAACACTTGGACTGCGCCTGACTCTTCTGCCCGGAGTCCACATTCTTACTTCTACAGGAGAGGTTATGCATCTGGGGTTGGTATCCCCCACCTCTAATAAATTTTTTTGTTTGTTTGTTTTTCCGGTACCAGGAAACAGACTCACGACCCTGCACTTGCCAGGCAGGCGCTGTGCCGCTGAGCTAAATCCCCAGCCCCTCTAATAAAACTCTTAACCCCTCTAATAGGTTTTTTTGAGACAGGGTCTTCCTATGTACTTCAGGGTGGCCATGAACTCACTATGTGGCACAGACTGGTCTCGAACTCGCTGTGATCCTCCTGCCTCAGCCTCCTGAGCACTGGGATTACTGCTGTGTGCCACTGCACTTGACAACATGGGTATTCCTGGTACCAGAACTTTTATCACATGAAATACCACGAATACAGTCCTTGAAGGTCTTCCTGATCCTGCTGACCTTGGGGAACTGCCCTCTGTGGGGACTGCTGGCCAACTGGGAACAATCCTGACAGGGTCACGACAATAACAATTTGAGAGAAAGCTGCTACTGCCAGGAGAGAGGTGAGTAGCTCCCTACCTGGCCTTCTGAGGGGCGAGTTCCTGCACGTGACAGCTCGTGTTTCGCAGGTCATACACCAGAATCGACCCGTTGGCCAGTCCAGCATAGACATAGCTGTTTTCATCGAGACACCAGCAACAGCTCCACACAGGTCGTCCAGTGTTGTAAGTCTGGACCACAGTATTTGTTTCCAGGCTGCAGGGTTACAAATTAACAGAATCAAACAAATGACAAAGAGGCAAGGATTATCATTTTTTTTTTTTCGGTTTTTCTCCGGTACCGGGAACCGAACTCACAACCTTGCGCATGCCAGGCGGGCCCTTTTGCCGCGGAGCTAAATCCCCAGCCCCCAAGGATTATCATTTAAATAGAATAATGCTTACTGAGAACACATCCACAAACCCAAACCAGTGGATTACCAATTCCAGGTAACCCCGTTAAATTCCAGAACTTCTGAGTTGGGACCACAGGCTTTCCTCCTGAGCTGTGCAGCAGCTAAAGACCAAGCTAAAAGAATGTAGAGAGACCGGGTGTGGTGGTGCACGGCTGTAATCCCAGGTCTCAGGAGGCTGAGGTAGGAGGATCGTTGCAAGTTCGACACCAGCCTGGGTTAAAAAGTGAGCTCAAGACCAGCATGAACTACATAGAAAGACCCTGTCTCAAAAAGCCAAAAAAAAAAAAAAAAGGAACACATAAATAGTACACTGCCCACTCTTCTCTTATTATCTCTCCACAGTTACCTAGTATACAACTAACCAGTAAGCAATGTAGGAAAGTTAGAAAATACGTGTAAGGCCAGGTGTGGTAGGGCACGCCTCTGATCACAGCACTCAGCAAGGTGAGGCAGGAAGATCACTTAAGTTCCAGGTCAGTCTGGGCTATCAAGTGACTTCCAGGCCAGCCTGAGTTACATAGTGACACTGTCTCAAAAAAACAAGGCAGGGAGCCGCCGGGGGTGGTGGCACAGGCTTGAAATCCCAGCACTCAGGAGGCTGAGGCAGGAGGATTGTTGCGAGTTCGAGACCAGCCTGGGCTACAAAGTGAGCTCAAAGCCAGCCTGAATTGCATAGTGAGACCCTGTCTCAAAGAAGACCAAAAAAGAAAAAAGCGGGGTGGGGAGCAGAATACATGCAAGTGTTCTCCCACTGAGTTATAACCTCAGCCATGAAACACTCCCACAACGTCAAAAGGAGCCATGTGATCCTGGCACTCAGAAGACTGAGGCAGGAGGACCACTGAGAGTTTGAGGGCAGCCTGAAATACATACTGAGACCTTGTCTCAAAAGAACAAAACAAAACAAACCTCAAAAGGACTGCTAGGTGTCGTGGCATGCACCTATAATCCCAGCACTCTGGAGGCTGAGGCAGGAGGAACACTGTGAGTGAGGCCAGCCTGGGGTACATAGTGAGTTCAAAATAGTGAAACCCTACCTCTAAAAAAAATTTTAAAAAGACCACAACCATTTTCTCCACAACAAAAGCAGGCAGCCCACTCAGATCTGCTTCAGGTACCCACAGATCATGTGATAGGCAAAATGCCATAACCAAGGACTTGAAAGAAAAAAAAACACCATGGCAGCAAAGACAGCGAATGCCTGGTGAGCATCCTCTTACGGCAGAATTGTCCAGGTGACAGGATGAGGTTGGTACGGAAACTCTCTTGTACGGGTACCAAGGACCCTACATACTATCACCTCACCACTCCTACGGCATTACTTGCATCCAGATGGTTTAAAGTATATTTTGTAACATGTATACCTACTCAGTACAGTTTAGGAACCTCCACTTGTATAAGGAATAGATATAGTATCTATGTGCTGAAGAGTAAACCCCAGGACCTTGTGTATTTGAGGCACTCTACCACGGAGCTACAGCTACATCTCAAACTACAACGTCCTGGACAAGTGTTAGTGTATTAAGGATGGAGTCCAGGTTGCTCTACCACTGAGCTATACCTCTAGCCATTTAAAAATGTTTCAGAGACAGGGTTATACTAAGTTTCCTCAACAGGATTTGAACTCATACCCTCCTGCCTCAGCCTACCAAGTGATAGGATTATAGCTGGCAGCACTGTGCCTAGCTATCTCAGTGCTTTTTAAACTTTTGAGACGGGGTCTTACTAAATTACCCAGGCTTGAATTTGTGATTGTTCTCTCAGCCTCCTGAGAAGAAACTGTCCAGGGATTACATGACCACACCTAGCAGGAATACATGTCATGTAGATCTGAGAAGACAGTGCCTCAGACCAAGGAAAGAGAGCGGGGCACGGCATCGTAACCCCAGCACTAGCCTGGCACTGTCCAGTGCGAAGTGGCCCCGGTGCTGGCTCACCTGGTCAGCTTAATAGTGTTGTCCAGGGAAGCGGAGAGCAGCAGGCTTTTGGACTGAGTGCTGAAAGCCAGCCCGCGGATCTGCTTGCTGTGCATTGGGATATACTGACTGCTTTTCATGTTGGCGGTGCTCAGCATCTTCACGCCAAAGCCTGCCAGACAGGAGTGCACAGAACGCCTCAGTGGGAAACAGATCAATCCAAAAGCAAATGGTTTTGCTCCTTTGTTCATTTTTCTTGGCATTTAAGTTTCTGAAAAATAGCTGCTCAACAAGGAAAATCAATAAAAACTCACCTCCTATGCAGCAATTTACTTTAAAAAAGTACAGTCCATCCTGAATGTTTTCAAGAAATGAATGAATAAACAAATCTACTGTCTATACATTCAATGGAATATTACCTGGCAATAAATAAGGATGAACTACTTATCTACAGAAAACTATGGATGACAAGCTGGATGTGGTGGCGCATGCCTGTAATCCCAGCACTTGGGAAGCTGAGGCAGGAGGATCATTGCAAGTTCGAGACCACCCTGGGCTACAAAGTGAGCTCAGAGCTAGCCTGAACCGCATAGTGAGACCCTGTCTCAAAAAGAAAGACAAAAAGAAAAACAAGCAGAGCATGGTGGTGCATGCCTGTTGCCCCAGAACTTCAGAGGCTTAGGCAGGAGGATCTCTGTGATTTGCACACCAGCCTGGGCTGCAAGGTAAAAAATCCTGTCTCAAAAAAGAAAAACTATGGATGACAAAAAAGAATATATGCTATATGGTTCCATTTATATAAAATTCTAGAAAACGCAACCTAATCTTTAGTGACAAAAGGTAGGTCAAGGGTTGCCTGGGGATGAAGAAAGAAGGACAGGTAGAAAAGACTTATAAAAGGTTTTAAGGACGACAGATTTTTGTTTGTTTGTTTTGAGACCAGGGTCTCACTGTGTAGCCCAGGTTGGCATTAACTTGCGGTGATCCTCCTGCCTCAGGTTCCCGAGCATTGCTACCACAGGTGAGCACCACACCAAGCAAAAATTTCTTACTTACTTCATTTATTGGTACTGGGGGTTGAACCCAGGGCCTCATGAATGCTAGGTAAGCACTCTACCACTGAGCTATGTCTCATCCCTCCACTTTGACAGATAATATTCGTCTTTTTCTTTTCTTTCCTTTTTTCTTTATTGGGGACTGAATTTACGTAGGAGTGCTATACCACTGAGCCACATTGCAGACTTTTTTTTTGTCTTTTTGAGACAGGGTCTCGCTATGCAGTTCACACTGGCATTGAGGTC